AAAATTCGAATTTCACGTCTACCCACGAAAGCTTGAGCAGGCCAGCGCGGATTCAAGAAAGGCTTAGCAAATCCCAAGCAGAATGCACGTAAAATTCGCAAGGAAAGTGAAACAAACAACCTATCAAGAAATGAAGTTTTGAGGCTGCATTTTTGGCAGCCCTCAAATCAAAGACAACTGTATCCCTTACGGGAGTCCGTCGTCTTTAAGATTTGTCAAAACTTCTAATCATAGAAAAGTCAATCACAAAGTATAAATCAATCCTGCATATTCAATACGTACAGGAAAGTTGCAAACAGAAGACTCGCTCTTTTCTTCAATGAAGCAGACAGCTTGGTCATGGGGCAAACCTGTGGCGCATGTGATTTGCCTCCCCACTTACCCCATGGAACTCGGTGACAACATCGTGACCCAACGCCCTTCGAGGACTGGTCAAACGGACCCGAATCTACCCAAGTACAACGTCCGTAGTTTAACCGCCCTTGAAAGTTGGCAAGCGAGGTTTGCAGTATGCTGACAAGAGATCCCACGGCAAGTCGGCAGTATTGACAAGCTCGTCTGATAGCACCCGGGCCTCATGATTGTGATCAACCACCTTGCCACCGATCAATCGAGCTGCCTCCTCACAGCCATCCCTAGTCGGGAGGTCCGCTATGTTACTAGCGCTAGGTACCCGTTCTACCCACGGGATGGCTCCATCCTCAAGTTCGCATTCAAGGAATGTAGTGACTATGCGCAGGAGTGAGCGACAAGGACTACTTCCCCTAATAACCGCAAACCTAGTTGACTCATTGTCGATGTAGAAAGTGACCAAGCGGTCGCGAAGAAGGTGCTTGCACAAACGCTTCCGCTTGGGCGATGATCTGAGATGAGCCGTCTTTTTGCCAGGAAACGATGGCCTCAGCGGGGATGACTCCTCCCGACACAGACCGGGCCCCTGAATGAAGGTCAATGCAAACGATACCCCAAGTAGCGGTGCCCTCTTCGAAGGCCGCGTCCGTGAATACTATAAGAGGCGGGATTGCCTTGCCCACATGGACGACGCGGGCTGCGAGCTTTTGCAAACAACTTTCCAAGTACGATCCTAGGGATTGCAGCTCAGACATGACCGGGACTCTCGGGCCATGTGCTACATTTGCTAGGGCTCTGCAAGCGGTCTTGAGGCAGCGGCCCGCAACGAACGAGTTCATAAAATTGAGCTTTCCATGTAGGCTCGATGCTTGCGCTCTGCTAAGGGATCCTTCGTGCTTAAGGCGTTTCGCCTCCTCCAAGAGATTGTTCACTTCCTTGTTTGAAAGCGTGATGAAACCCTCACAGAGCGAACTCACGTTAAGCCTCATGCCAAGCAGGGAGAATGTCTCGGAGAAAGGCTTGTATTTTGCAGGGTCGCGTGAGTACGACCAACCCAGGATATCTAAAATTCCTTCAATGGTCAGGGAGCACAAACGTGACGTCAGCTTCGGTTCGAGAAGGGGTATGTCATCGTAGAAAACACCTCCGATCACCTTGCCAAAATGCAGAGATAGGTAAGACACTCGCACCTGCACCGAAAGGTAACGAGTTTGACAGGAAGTATTTGGGCCGGCTTGATGCCGGGTGCTGCACCGCGATGACAGAGAACTTTAGGTTGCTCTCCAGGGCGGGTACCTGTCGGTAAGCACGTTCAAGATCGAGACAACGGCCTTGCCATGCTACCCCGTTCCAGAAGTCACGATGCAGGGCACCTTCCAACTTCTCTCCATTGGGAGCCCCATCTCTTTGGACTCGGCTCCCCTGCTCTGTCGGTTGAAGACACCCTCAGAGCCACCTGCGTCAGCGCAAGACGGCGCTGGGATCTTCTCAGTCCCTGACTGGAGTGTGCCTCCGCCAGACGCCACAGACATCTTTGCCGGACTCCGTCCTAGACTGTTGGACTTTCTGCTTCGCAACCGGCTCCCAGGTCGTCTGCGTCACTTGTGTGACCTGCAATCAGTCAGAATCCCTCTTTCAGGCTGCAGAGGTCAGCTCTCTCCGTGGCATCTTCGAGCTCTGGCTTGAGTCACTTCCTGAGCCTAGGCAAGTCTCTTGGTCTGTAGCTGAGGGGCAACCTTACTGCCTTGAGGCTTTGCAACTTGTCTCTGCCCTTACTTCAGACCGGGATACCACGCTTTTCCCTTGCCTGCTGTCTGGAGTGCCCACTGGCTTTGACGCAGACATACCTTTGTCCAACGT